CGAGCATAAAAATTTCTTAAAAGATGAAACTTGATAGTTCTTGTTATTTTCATATAACTCTTATTACTTTCACGTAATCCCTTCCCTAATATTTCTGAAAATTAATACTATTTTTCAAAAGTATAATTAACAGTTGTTTAAAGATCTTAACATTTGACTCCTCCAACAACTATTGCATAACCTTAATCATACAATAACGATTGTGTTGCGATTGTAATTGCATAAACAAAGGGGGGTTTTAGCTTTATAAACAGATAAAACTGTAATTAAATTTTTTAAAGAGAATACAATTATGTATATAAAAACTTTTTTTTTTCAAATAAATAAAAAGCTTGGAATCAATATTTGTCTTCCAGCCTAGGGTTGTTCGCCGAAAAACAAAACTTGTGAAAATTTCGCATCTTTATCTACCGTAATAGAATTGTTATTACGGAAGTTGCACATGCGAAAATGCACATTCCGTAACGCGCTATACGAAAATATAAATAAATAAAATTCCGTAATAAAGCATTGCGAAAGAAAACTTGCGAAACAAATCATTTCGTAAGAATACTTACGAAATAGTTCCTTACGGAAAAAGCATTCCGGAATGTGTAGTTACGAAAAAGACGCAAAAGATTTTATGTTACGATATATTTAAGATATTAACTGTTAACAGTTTAAATAATAAATAATAAAATTATAAAAAAATGTTGTCAAATGATTCTTCAAATGTTTATACAAATATACCTAATATATATATATATATATATATATATATATATATATATATATATATATATATATATATATATATATATATACATTAACGGGATTTTACTGTATATATATGTATATATATATATATATATATATATATATATATACATTAACGGGATTTTACTGTATATATATGTATATATATATATATATATATATATATATATATATATATATATATATATATATATATATATATATATATATATATATATATATATATATATATATATATATATATATATATATATATATATATATATATATATATATATATATATATATATATATATATATACATATATATATATATATATATATATATATATATATATATATATATATATATATATATATATATATATATATATATATATATATAAATATATACTTATATATACAGTAAAATCCCGTTAAGTTGGACTCTCAATGAATAGATAAACAGTATGCCTTTCTTTTTAAAAAGTATAAAGAGGATGTGTGATAAACAATTAAATACTTTATTATAAAGAACGAGAGATCTCTCTAAAGGTAAATGATATCAGAAAGAGTAAAAAGAGAAGAAATATATGTGAAACAGCGGGATCTCAGGGAAATTATATTCAGAAATGGTTATATTAGACTCAGAGTTAGCTAGAAATTATTACAAAGTATTTAGGACAGATGTCTAGTACAAAAAGCAAAAGATTTAAAGCAAAATGAATTATATTATTTGAAAAAATTGTTTTACGTACATTTCATCATAATTTAAGTAGAACTTAGTAAAGCAAGGGAAACGTGTTGAATTAAGCACAATGAACTCAATCTTAAAAGAATAACTAACAGAAGAGAGGTTGTCACTATTGTGAAGGCGACGAAAGATCTGTAATATAGAACATGGAGGTCAAAAAATGCTATCTTAAGTAAAAAGAGTTTGATGAACAAAAGTTACAATGGCTGCGGGATGCGAACCCGGATCTCTGCGGCGAATTATCACGTATCTAACTGATTGAACTATACAATCTTATACTCAAATTTATATCTTATTAAAATTAAAAAACAAAATTTTCTATGATCTATACTTTGAAAAGCGTATTCAAACAGGACTCTATATACCTTTAAAATCTGCTAGAATTTTAGTAACGTGCACACTTTTAGAAATTATTGAAACAGGTATATTTTATCAGAAATATGCTTAAGCTAAAGCATATTTTTGAGCCTCTTTTTACTATTTGCTTAAGCATATTCGAACCTGTTTCAAAAATTTCATATGCTTTAAAAAAAAAACATGTATATTCCTACCCATCATTCTTATTTTTAATATACATAATGAGTTCAAAAAACATCGTTGTATATATATTATTATGGCACGTTTCGTAAGTTTATTTCGGTTAAGAATTCTTTCGTATGTTGTGATCCGAAATACTTTCGTTTCGAAAGAAATTTTATTTTTTATCAATATTTCTAAAAATAAAACCGTAAAAATTTAATAAGTTATTTTACTGAAAATAAAAATTCATTATAAACATTTTGGGATTTAAAGATATAAATTTTTACAATTAAAATCAGTCTGGCAAACAAATTTTCTTTATAGACTTCAAAACGTCATTTGGCGAATGTTTGTTTCGCAAGTGCGACTTCCGAAACCGCTACTTTCGTATGTTGCAAAATAGTTTTGTTTCGTATGGCAACTTGCGAAACGCTAAATTTCGGAAGTGGCTTTTGCGAAATGAACATCGGCGATTTTAAATGTTTTGTAACATTCGGTACGAAAAAATGTAATTCCGTGTTCTCAATCTCCTTACGAAAGAATGTTGTTTTTCCGGAATTGCACGAAATCCTCCGGTTAACAACCCTACTCCAGCCCTGTATTTTTTGCCGATGACCCTATATACAAATATTTTTGTAATGACTTGCTTAAGACATCCTTACGGACACTTAAACTGCTGCTGTAAGCAGACAAATTGAAGTTTTAATTACAAAAGGTAGTAATTATTGGAATAAAGTCATTTCTTGTTCACAGTTCTTTAAATATTAAAACTTAACAACTACGCAAGTAGATGTCATAGTATTATTATTTCTTCATAAATATTACTCAAGATTACCTTCTCATAAACAATTGAATCACGCATAGCAGTAGTAAGTGGTATTTTTTTTCTTTTATATGCACATTTATTATACATGTACAATATTTGTTTATATGTATATTAAGGATGCACCGAGCGTAAAAAATATCTTCAAACAGTACTTTTAGACAACTTTTTTTCAAGACATTTTTTACACTACTCCAAGATTAAAAAATTAGTAATGAAACATAAATAATGTAATAAATAAAAAACATTAAAAACATAATAAATAAGGTAAAATAAAAAATAAAAATAAAAACATTAAAAATAGGGTAATTTTAGCAGGTTGATAATTTTAGCACCCCTTCACAAGACACCTAAAATATTTATTTGTTTAGTTGTTCAAGTCGTGTTTGGGTATTAAAGCAAGGTAAACATTTATTATTCCTAATAAATAAGGTTTAAACTTCTTTTTTTTTGTAATATAGGTACGCTGATTTATGATTATTATCTTTGTCTAAACATTTTTATTTTTTTCAAAATGATAAATGATTTTTTTTTATGAACTTGTAGCAAAAGTTTTTTATTTATTTTACTCACTAACATTTTAATAACGCGCTGAATGAAAAATAATCTGAATTATACCTTAAGTGAAAGTTACGTTAAAACTTTAAACTAATGTTTTTATATTATAAAATAAAGGAACAATTTATTGATAAACGCTTTAAAATAAAGTAACAAATTATTGATAATTAAAGTATATGTCACAGTTCTATATAAAGGGGGAGCAATTTTCATAGCAAAAAAATCAATATTCCTGAGACACGAATCGATGCCTATCATTTATAAGATGAAAGTAAAAAAATATTTTTTGATTTTGATTAGATCTTAAGGTTCCTCTTTGGATTATAAATTCTTGACGGGTACTAATATTTTTGAATTTTGTTTTAAAACCATATCAACCTTGAACTCAAAAAAGGCAGGAAAAAATGCTTGTTTGATAAATAACAATTTTATTAAAAAAAAATTTTAGTGAAAAAAATATTTGCAAAAATATACCTTGAAACCCCCATTTTGTCGAAGACTGGGATTTCAAGGTATAAATAGAGCTGTTTTTATGAAAAAAAAACAGTTCTATTTTTTTATTTATTATTTTTTAATTAAAACAAACAATATTTTCAAAATCAGCATATTATTCTGCTTCTTTTGAGTACCAGGTTGATATAGTTTAGAAGGAAAAAAAATTTTTAACAGTATAGTTTGCAGATTTCCACTTTTTTTTTATACAAGTACACAAATCGTTGAACAGCAAGTCTAAAACCAACGTATTTATATTTTGCAAATTTTGGCTAATGCTACAATATATATGCTGCGTGGACTACTAATTCTTGTTAGTAATAAAGTTAGTGCTAGTAATAAAGTTACATCTAATGCGTTAGGGCAACCGAACATAAGAGGCCCAATAATAAAATTGCGCACCTGGTGCTGGGTGAGCCCTGCTGTTAATACGGAACTGACGGTACATTTAATTGCTTTTTTATTACACTAGTTTTATTACGGTAGTGAACACCTTTATAACGTTCACTGAAATATAACGCAGAACAGAAACATGACAAAAATAGTTATTTTAAAATAAACAATTAATTAATACGAGCGTTACGATAAGTTATATATATATATATATATATATATATATATATATATATATATATATATATATATATATATATATATATATATATATATATATATATATATATATATATATATATATATATATATATATATATATATATATATATATATAAGTATTTAGATACAATCATAAAAAGTATTTTGGCTTTATCTAAAGTGTTAAACTATATTGTTTTTGGAAAGAAATTTAATTTTCTCAGAAACAGAAATTATGTTCTGACATACTATTAAATTAAAAGCATAAAAATAAAATATCCTGTACACATACAAGAATATCTCAGCGGAATACACAACAATGCTCTTAATAACTAAAAGTAAAAGTATGATATTGAGAATCTTTTTCCAGTAATAAATTACATTATTAGTTACAAAAAAATAAAACAGGAAACCAAAAAAATGAAAAAGAAAAAAAGAGCAGCATTAAGTTATTCTTTTTTTTCAAGCAGAACTGTTAAAAAAGCACAAAAATTTTATTTTTTTTTCTTTTCATTTCATTATTGAATTTGTATAAATAATATAAACGAGATCAAAACACACCAGTACTGCTTAATTTTTATTTTGACAGATATGGCTAGAAAAAGAGATAAAGACGGAAGATTATCTAAAAGATCTTTATTTGGAACGCAAGCGTTTATCAACATACATCGTCAAAAACGTTTTTCTTTATCTCAAAGAAACATACTGTAGAATCTAGAGGTCAATCTGGCGGTAGTAATACATATTCAGGTATATTCGTAAACATATTTTGTATAATGAGATATGAAAAAGTCTAGCTAATGAAAATAGAACGTAATAATAATAATATTATAAAATTATAACCGATAAAAATACTTTAGTACAGTCATTAAATCGGTCTTTAATTTGCGTTGATACGTGAAATATATTTTAACGAATTTATTTTTATATTATAGTTTCGAACTCTGATACTGACGATGATCAAATTATAAAATCAGTTTGTAAAATGAAGCCATTGTCCATTAAGTCACTTTTTTCATTTGTTTCCGAAGCTAATAAATATATTTGTTTGATGTGTCCAGAAAATGGAAAACTTATATGTGGGCCTGAGCCAAATCTGCGAAAACATATATTTCATATTCATAGAAAACCGGAGTACCTTTACGATTCTCAAAAAAAAAAATTGCTCAAGATCAATTCCTTGAAACGCAGAACAGAGATGAAATAGATGAAGCCATAGTAAATTGTATTATTCAAGATAGCCGCCCTTTCAACGATTCTCATAAACCTGGTATGCAACTCCTTCTAAACATTCTTGCTCCGCATTACAAGCCGCCTCATCGAAAGACAATAGCTAATCAATTAAGAAAACGGTATTATCAATACAAGAACGATCTTAAAGCTAAGCTTAAATTAGTTGCCTACATAGCACTAGCAACAGATTTGTGGAAAAATCGAGTTGGATCGTATTGGCTTTGCATAACAGCGCATTACTTAACAAAAAAATTTAAATACAAATCAAAAATAGTTTGTTTTCGTAGGTTTTATGGAAGGCCATTAAGTTATAGACTTACAGCATTTGTACAAAAAGAAATTAATAAACTTGAAATTGAATCTAAAGTTATTTCAATTACAACTGACAACGCTGAAGATATTAAAAAGGCGATGGGATCTATTGCTTTACGACTTTCATGCATTTGTCATAATTTAAATCTTGTTTTGAACCATGGAATCAAATTGTGGACTAAACCATCACATAACTTATTAGATAGCACAGCAGATGTAGATGAAGATCTTATATATTACAATAATTATAATGAAAGCGATATCGAATCAAATGGAAATAGTTCATCTAACGATCAAGAAGAAATTGCATGCACTTATGACAAAGAAGACGTTAGCTCAGATGATGAAGAAAGTAGCGAGGAGGAGCAGGCGTCAACCAATGAAAATGTTGAACAGTTATTCATTTATTCATCAAGCATATTATTCAGGTTAAGAAAGACGGTAGCTAATGTTAAACAATCTTCTGTTTTGCAATCATTTGTTTTTAGTGAGATTAAGAAGCAGGGACTGAAATAAAAAAATTTTTCGTCAGATTTTCATGTACGTTGGAACTCAACGTTTTTGATGATTAGTAAGATAATAAAAGCAAAATATGTTTATAATAAAATTACCATAGATCCTGGCACTATCGATGGGTTAACAGAAAAACAGATTAATAAACTCAAGAAACTAGCTTTGTTATCAGATGACTGGAAGTTCCTAGACATTTTACATTATAACCTTGCTCCATTTTTTGAAGCAACTAAACTTCTCTCTACTAAAAATTTTCCAACACTTTCTTCAGCAAAATTCGTCCAAAATACGTTAATGAACTTTCTTGAAAATGAATCTTCAGCTAAATGTTTTCTTTTACAACCATTTCCTACGGTGGAAAGAGAGAACATGTTACGAGCTAGTCTTCTCAAGTTCATGAAGGTATACTTTGTTGAAAAGATGTCTACAAAGCAAAAGCTGCAAAGTTTGCTAGCATGTTTCTTTGATCCGAGAACAAACGAGTGTCTTACAGAAAAAGAATATCAAGAAGCAGAAAGCAAACTTATGAAAAAATTTGCAAAGTCAGCACTCCGACAATATCCTCGAAGATCAACGCATACAAACATTTGTTTGCAAAATGAACAAAATTATTCGAGAAGTGGTTAGTTATAAACCTAAAATTCATGTTTGTTAAAAAACATTTGTTTTTAAATTTATATAAAAATTTTACTTTTTTTACATTTTCAGTGTTGTTAAAAAATAGATTACATTTCAGCTAATATATATACTTGTTTTCATTTTTAGATATGATTGATTCAAGTAATGATGTTCAATTTCATGTTTCACCTGAAGTTCCTGTTAAACGCAAAAATGGGTTTGCTAAGCTTGCAACATTGTGTGGTTTTAATCTGTGCGAAGAAAAAACACAGTCAAAGCGAAATATAAAAGAGGAGTTATCCTTTTTCAATTATACTATAAAAGCAAAAACTCGCAAAGAAAGAAGTAACTTAAGCTCGAGAAACTTGCGGTACTCGATGCTACTTAAAGAGAAGAATTGAAATTTTACTTTAAAACTTTGTATTTAACTGAAAATGAGGAAAAGTATTTTAACCAGTATTTTAAAAAGTATTTTGCTTTTTTGAATCATCCTACTAAATTTGTTATATTAAACAAATTAAAATAAGCGGTTGTTGTAGTTATGAAAAGTTATAAATTTTTTTTAAGTTAATTTTAAAGTTACTTTTACTATTTTAACTTTAACTTTTTTAATGTTATTTACATCAGTTATTTAAATATTGTTTTTAAAAGACTGTCTGGTTTATTGTTCTTGCTTTGGAAATGGCTATGCATTTTGCAATTTTGTTCTAAGTTTTGCATTTTGGCTTCTTTTATTCAGAGTGGTTGTTGTTAAAAACCAATCTAACCAAAATCAAAGTTATTTCTTGAAATGACTAACTAGAATAATTGTTAGATAATAGAATAATAAAGGAATAATTAATGTCTGGAATAGGCTATTTGAAATTAGTTAATTCCAGACAACAGTTTTATGAATAGATATTAGTAAATAAACAAAAACAAAAAAAAAATTTCAGTTCTGTTAGAGTGGTTGTTACGACCAGGACCAGGGTGGTGAAGGGGGTATCACACCCCAAGCTGTTATATATGCATTTGAGTTAGCGCATTAGCGTTAACAACAACCACACTGATTAAGAGAAGCAAAAAGCAGCAGCATAGCTACAAATATGCACGACTCTTTTATGGTAAATTTTTATCAGGGCCATTAACTTATTTCCTCCCGACAAAAAAATTAATACTAAAACAAATAAATCAAAAAAAAAAGCCTTTTTAAAGGTTTTTTGCGAAAATCATTCTTTCTAAAAAGTTAAAGACCTCAATTATTAGAGAAAAACAAAACATTAGAGAAAAAAATAAAGGGTACAACCCTCTTTGCAGGAAATAAATTTAACATGCAATTTCTTTGGCACTACCCAAATACTGTCATGATAAAGTAAGATCAAAGTAAAGTCTAAAAGATAAAGTAAAATAATTATAAAAAAAAAATAGATTTCAAAAAGTGGAGTTCTCCAGTGGGCTCTGAAAACAATTTTAAGATTTACTTTTATTAAATTTACACATATGCTGGAAGTTTCAGAGCTCTAGCTAGTCCGGAAGGTAGTGAAAAATCAATCGCAAGATTCCAGGACAACTGATAGCCGACAAACATCTTGTAAAGTCAAAATAAAGTTTGAAAAAAAAAATTACAAGTTTATTCTAAAGCGCTATTTTAATTGAATAAGATTTTATTTGTCCTATTGTCCTTGTGCGGGTTGGACACCAACGCAACAAAAAGTAGGTTATTAGGGTGCCCACAACCTATATTAGAAGATTAAACAACTTTTTTTACCATCTTTTTTCAAATAGAAATTTCATTAAATATGATTAAACGCAATATAATTTCATTATATATGATAAAACGCAATAAAAGATTATATCTGATAAACACTCCTTTAATCATATAAATTATAACTTGTAGTTTAAATGACTTATAATTTTTTGAAAACTGTTGTAGCAGTCGATGTCCTTGCGGGTACCAAAAACATTATATTGCGTCATATTACCATAAAAAAATACTTGATTAAAAGAGCAAATACAAAAAAAAAACTGGAGAAAAAGCGCGCTTTAACGAACAGTGACTTAGTCAGGGTTTACACATGCATGAATTACCCATAGCTAAGAAATTATGCTCCCTTTCTCCCCCGACAAAGTTTCATTATGGCCACTAACCTATTTCTATATAACAAAAAAAGAAGAAATAAAAAATCAATGATTATTTACCAGCTTCTATTAGCACTCATCCGGCAGGGTTCCCGTCTCTACAATACTGTTATTCCCGCATGACTATATTTGCCTCTAATTATAATAGAACTACCGTTTCTGATATACGTGAAAAAAAATTTTTTCCTGATGCCCCACCACATACTTGCCCACATACCTGAAGTAGTACACAGAAATGCCCTCAAACAGAAAATGGATTTGAATACGCTACCTATCTCAAAATTTACGTTAAATCAACATTAAATGACTGTTCTTTAAGAAAGTAAATAATGTAACTTACATTTTAATTACTTACACAGTAAAGTTTAAAATTTCGAAGAAAACATTACTTTTATTTGTAAAAGTAAATAACATTTTTTTTCAAATTCTATTTATGTAAGCTAATTAATGCTAATTAGTTACTTTTACACGTAAAAGTAATTTGTTGTTATGATGTAGTTTTATTTTACTTGGTAAAGTAAGTGTTATGTTTTTTAAATATTATATTTACGTAAGTTTACTTCATAAATAACTTTTTTTACATTTAAAAAGTAAATTAAATTTCGATGTAAATTTTTTACATAATTATAACCAAAATTACATTTTAAAAGTAATATACTTTACACGACTTACCATTAAAAGTAAGTTACTTTTACAAGTAAAAGTAAAAATGCAAATAACTTTTACTTGTAAAAGTAAATTACTTAAATACTTAACTCTCCATAACTTAAGTAACAGTTATCCATTTAAAAAACTTAACTTAAGTAATTAAGTTTTACACGTTATATAATTTACGTAAAAAAAACGAATAACTTTTAAATGTAAGTTATATATTCTTATATAAGTTATGTAAAGTAATTTGCGCTTAAAAGTTATTCGCGTTTTTACATCAAAATAAGTAAAAGTGCCATCCCTAATATATAGTCAACGCCGACAAAACTTTTCAAAAATGATTGAGTTAATTTTATTCTTAAAGATGTCGATATTATCGGCATTAACAACATCGAAAGGCAACTGATTCCAAATGTTGACAACTAGGTAAGAGAAACTAAATTTGCGAATTTCTAGTCGACAATGTTGTTTGCTTCATGTACAACGTTTGAAATATACTTTTTATAGTTAGCTATACCAAGCTAAAATATGATCTCCTAACTTATAGTTAACGTTTATAAATTTTCTCGATGAAGCAGGCGTATTCCTATAAACAAAACCCTTACTGGTAGAAATAGGTAGTTGCCATGTTTCTGACCAAAGTACTACGTTATCAAGAGCATTAACTAAGTAATGGCTATAGTCCGTATTTCAAAATGAACTGTATAACTTGATGTCATCAGCATATAGCTTTAAAGAGCAATTAAGATTGTTGACTACAGCGGTTATATCATTGATATATAGTAAAAATAATGTTGGGCTTAACACGCTACCCTGAGGGACTTCGCTTACAATGCGAGTTGGGTTTGATAATGAAATTCCAACCTTAACTTGTTGACTCCTATTGTTAAGAAATGCAGCAATCTAATTTTTTAAATGACTTCTTATGCCAAATAAAGCTAGTTGGGTTAACAATTTAGGGTGTGATACAGAACCGAATGTCTTTTGAAAGTCGATATATACAACATCTGTTGTTAGATTATTGTCTTGTGCAATACTCCAATCATTAACAGATTCTAAAAAATTAGTGCATGTAGAGTGTTTCTTGAGCAAACCATGTTGATTATTGGCTAATAAGTTATGGAGAGTTAAGTACTTAATAATATCCGAGTTAATAATTCCATTGCACGACAACAATTGCACGTGAGAGAAATTGGTCTATAATTATTAGGGTTTGATGTTGCTCCTTTTTTAAAAATTGGAGAAACAAAAGCTTGAAGCCACTGTTGTGGTAGACTATTTAACTTGAAGCTGGCACCAAATATAAACGAAAATGGAATACATTAAACAAGAGCTAGCTTTTTCAGAAGAATGTTCGGTATTCCGTCAGGACCATAAGATGTACTCGGTTTGTGCTTGATTAAAGTTGAATAAACCGTCTCAACAGAAAAATTAATGTCTTCAATATTTATCGAGTCGTTAACAAAACTAGTAATATTTGGCGAATAGTTGTTATCGTCCGTAAATACTTCCAAAGTGTTTATTCGTAAATACTTCCAAAGTGTTTATTAAAAACTTCAGCAGTTTCTTTGTTAAAGTTTACTTGGTTTTTATTGTCTTTGTTCTTTATAGGGTAGTTTCCTTTATGATTATTTAGTTTATTATTAACATAGTTAAAGAACTTACTGAGTTTATTGTCATCAATTAATTTGAGTTCGATACTTTTGAGATAAGCAAACAAGGTTTGTTTACATTTGATGGCGTATGTTTTGTAAGCTTGTTTATGTAGAATGGTTTTATCAACGGAATATCTTTTCTATAAAAATAACTTCCGACTTAACATTTTCTTGATATATTTAGGGTAAGGATGTCTCTTTTTACAATGACGTATTTTTCTTATTGGAATAAAACGATCTATCCCAATTCTAATATGATTAGAGAAAATGTTCCAATATTCATCAATATTGAATACATAAGAAAACTCGTAGTTTCAATTAATATTTGAAAGGTAAATTAGAAGGTTATCTATATCAGTATTGATGAAATCATAAAAATATTCCGATTTCTTTTCGTACTGATATTTATCATTAATGTTTAAAGAAAAATGGACTGAGTTATGGTCGCTGGTACTAAAAGGGCACTCAACACAAATTTTACTTAAAAGAGCATTGTTATTAGAAAAAATAAGGTCTAAAATATTGGGTTCGCGTGTTGGTTCGTGAACAAATTGATGCATACCTAGACTATTGACTGGAGTTAAAAATAAGCTATGACATTTTTCGTTCGGTGAGATGTAATTTAGCCAGTCAATTTTAAGTTAAAATCACCCACAATAATAAATCACCCAGAATAATAAATTTTAAAGGTAAGTTAAAATCACCCACAATAATAAATTGAAACTGAGTAGCACAAACCATTTATAATTGACATCATAGAGACGAGATTTTGGAATACAAGGTGGACGGTAGCATGTAATTAAACGAAGTTTGAGGGCTCCAAAGTCAACGCAGATAATATCAATATCATTATTGTTTTGAGTAATCGTAACTTGTTCGGACTTAATACCATTTCGACAATAAACAGTGACTCCTCCAATTTTCACACGGTCTTTACGAAAATAGAATAGCCATTAAGACAAACAATGTCATTGGTTAGTTTATTGTTAAAAAAGATTTCGCAAACGCATATTAAAGCTGGGTTGAATGCCTCTGTATATAAATTAAATTCATGAAGTTTATTAGCCAGGCTTCTGGCGTTAATAAGATAAACAGATACTTCTTTATTTGAATTATTTGTTGGACTTGTTTTTAAATTATTTTTATTATTTAAATTTTTTGTTTTAAAGAGATGATATTTTTTTTATTGTTAGAGAAATTATTAGAGTTGATCTTTTTCGTTAGTTTTAAACTTGACAATACGCTCATCTTTGATAGTAAATCGAAAGGGCTGGTTCTCATCTAGATTATTTAATCTATTCTTTCTGCAATTAATATTTTCTTACTTTCTCGTTGAGCTAACGTAAGGTCTGGATTAATATAAAATTTGCTTTTGTATTTGTTAATTTTACTTAATTTCGTGGCTTCCGTAATTACTTCGTGCGCTGATTGTTTATCTGTCATTTCTACGATTATTATTCCCGGTTTATTATTTTTAGAATGATTTTAGATGACGTAAGACTTTGCTATTGTCTAATTTAAGTACATCAAAAATTTTGTTAAGCCCTTTTTTATCGTTGTCTTTTATTTTCTTAATATCTGTTTCCTTTGATTCATCAACACCAAAAATTAATATATTTTTCTCTCTTTTTATTCTATCTGCGGTTTCAACGGAGACAGCGTTAAGAATAGTAATAATCATTTCTTGGTCGTTTATTCCTGGTTTATTTGTACTAAAAAAACTACTATATAAAGCTTTAGAAGTTAGGTTACTTGATTTTTCATCTCCTAATTGAGCAACACGTTTTTGCAACTCGTCATTCCGCTTTATTAAATTAAATACTAAATTTTTAAGAGCTTCAACTCGTTTATCTTGGAGTTCTTTATAAGCTACAAACTCTCCAGTTTGAAGATTAACCATTCTAATTTTTGTTTAAAACTTTTTTTGAATTCTGTTTAAAAAAAATCAACATGTAAACTTTCTTCATTTTTTTTGGTTGATAATCGATAGCTTTTAAAAGAACAGCTGGGAAAAACGTAGTTTCTACGTTTTATTCAAAAAGATACGTGTATACAAAAACTTCTTTTGTTTTTATGTTTTATTTACTTTTAACATCTTTACTTTAGCCAATTTTTTCCATTCTATTTATAACATTTTTGTCTGACGGCAGAATTGGCAATTCAAATCAAAAAAAGACAAATAAATTCTGATTCTTGCTACCTTTAGTCCCCTTAATTTTTGTTTCTGCCCTCTCCCCCCCCCCCCAACTTTCTTGACCTTCCTACGCCACTGTTTATTAGAATATTACAACATCGCCCACAATTTAAAATTTTCTTTTCATCTCTCATCAATTTTTTATATTTTCACTCCTTTTTTATTTACAAAATTGATAAAAAAAATTGATATGAAAAATATTTTTTTGTTATATATATGAAATAACATCACTGATTTTCACTTGTTTTATAAACGCAGGTATTTTGTCTTCTAAAAAGTGTAAAAAGAAAACAATCGCTACGGGGAAGATCAAGCTAAGTTGAGGCATCAAATTATGTTAAAGATGTATTAAAAATAAACATTGTCTATTTTGCTATGGCTGATAAAATACCCAAGGACGTATTAGCTGAAATTACTGAAGCTTTTAACGAGGTATATCAAAGAAAAGTTCATTAATTTTTTTAATAAACGATTTGTTGATACTTTATGTAAATACTACATTTTAATACTTTAATTAATCCTAATTTGAAAATATTGCTTAGTAATTTCATTAAGTCTTTATTTTCCGACTTGAGATCATGTTAATAGGATATATGCAATATGTGTTTATATTTAAAAAAATAGCTGTTTAAATGTTCTTAATAATGTTGGATGACCTTTTTTTTAACTAGCCGTAGTTTAGTACTACGCACTTTTTTTTTCCTACATATGTTTTCTCCTCAAACACACAGTTGTAAAAATCAAAACTAAGCCTATATAAAGTTTTAATATTTGTAAATATTAAATATATATTGTTGAATATTAAAAATCTTTTAGTTTAGAATTTTGAAAGACTTTTAGTAAATTTATTTTAACTTGATTTTTATTTCCACAAATAAAATTTTTTATTGTAATAATTATTACAAAAAAATGTATGAAATAATGTTTAAAATGTTTTGTATATATTACAAAAAAGTTATTTACAAAAAGATAATTATTACAAAAAAGTTATTAGAAAAAAAAAAAAAAAAAAAAAAAAAAAAAACTTGTATAAGTATGGTATAAAACTTGTAGAATAATATTTGTATGATACATTTTTTTCATTTTTCAAACAATGCATTGTTTACAATCAAATGTGTAGTAGGTGTACATACATTTAGTGAATGTTACATCATATTCATTTAATCCTTTCTCTCTTCTGTTTGAGTTATATATAAACATAGGTTTGAAAATTAAAAACTTTATTTGAAATAAAAGTAATAATAATTAAAAAAAAATGCACTAAATTATGTTTACAAAAAGAATAAAAAATAAATAAAAAATATCAACAACAAAAAAAAAAAAAACTTCATTTTAGTAAGAAATTTAAATGCACTATGTTTTAAATAAACCAAATATGGCCATTTAATAAACTCAGTATGGCCACATTATCTGTGTACTACATATACTACACATAAATATTACTTGCTTAAACCCCTAGTTAATGTGTGTAGTACACACATTAACTAGGGGTTTAAGCAAGGTTTAAGCAAGTAATATCTATGTAAGAAGCAATATCTACACATTGATAATATCATTAATGCTTCTGAAATAGCCTATATGTGGCTATTTCAGAAGCATTAATGATGTTTTATGCACAACTAAATCTGCATTTATATAACATAATATTCAATACTAAGTAAAATAGCTCACATATAATGACAGTTGTATATGAGCTGTTGGAAAGTTGTTGTTTCTTTCTTATAACTGTCCCAGCTGGTCCATTGCCAGGTCTAGACTTATTTGGTGGTTGGATCCAGAATGTTATATATACTGTGCTTTCCTTAAAGTACTGGATTTGTATCTGCTCAGCATGCTTGAACTTTGACTGATTAGAAATTGAGTAGGGTTAGGTATTTTTTCCCCTTAATAAATAACATTTCTTGTCTCTTTTTTGTACTTGTTTGATTACCTTTTCATCAGCTATGTTGATAGGAGCCCATGTGGGTTTAACATGCAAAGTGAGGCCTTAAAAATATGCTGTAAAGAGTTTTAAACATCAAAAAGTTATCTTTGAGTTCTCTTGATTGAAGCTGTAACAGCTTTGACTACTACATGTTTAGATTGGGCTGACTATTTTAGATTTGTTCTTAAAATTCAAAGGGCTCTTGGTTGGTAGAAAATTAGTATGTGCTGCTATTATCTTGCTTCTATATGCTAAATTTGTGATCATGTATGGCTATTTTAAATAATTTTTTTGATTTTCAATACTTTGCATTTGCATTTAATTCCGTTGTCCATGTATCCACCTAATGTCAAATTGATTTTTTTTATTGCGTTTATTAGTTTGCTTTAATCTAGAAAGAATGCTTTGAGCCAGTTTGGTAATTTTCTTTTGAAACCAATGTGAAACTTAACTATGAAACAAATTTGACAATTAGCATTTTATGACAGACTTTATTGAAAGCTAAAATTCAGATATTTTATGATTGAGTAAAAGCCATGATTCAATACCATTGGTGTAATGTATATTGTCTCAAGTAAATTTGTAACACATGACTTTTGACTGAGGAAGCCATATTGATGCTTAGAAATTAGGTTGTACTTGATTAGGTGACTCGTGTTTTTTCAATATTTTTCTATCATTTTACAGTTTGCCAAATACTGAGCTTCATTAACATTAGATTGATCAATATTGCATACCATATCAGTTCAGCTTGGTAATGAGAATATGACCTTTTGGTCAACTAAAGAAAGTAAACTCAAGCTGTTTATAAAAATATTTTGCTCTTTCAAAAAACTTTGTTAGTTCCATACCTTTTTTCCTCCAAGTATGGATATATATGCAGGCTTGGTTGGGAAGCGGGTGCGATCGCACTTGATAATTGACCACGGAAATAATATTTAGTTGCGAAAAACCAACCAGATTTTTTAGTTGTTTTGAGAACATTTCAAAAACAAACAAAAAAGTGGAAAAAGATTAACTGGACCGACGAGAGACAGTTAAAAAAAGAAAAATAGCTTTTAACCCGAAAATTTTTTACGCAAAATAAATACGATTAGAGCAAATATTTATGAAACGTCACTTTCTTATAATTTTTTTTATAAAACTTTTTTATGTGACTTTATAAAAAAATTTTTTATGTCACATTTTTTATATAAAGTAACAACTGTAATTAATGATTGTTTAACAAGTATTAACTGTAATTAATGATTGTTTAACAAGTATTGTTTAAGTAAGTAATTAATGATTGTTTAACAAGTTAACAAATGTTCTCCGATTTATCAAAGAGTATATATAATATTTATTAATACTAGCAGTAAGCAACCCGTAAAACGGGTTAGTAGTAAATAAATCATTACTAACAATTTGATATTTATTTAATTTCTCTATTAAAATTTAAATTTATTTATACAGTAAGCAACCCGTAATACGGGTTAGTAGTAAATAAATCATTACTAACAATTTGATCTTTATTTACTTTCTCTAATGAAATATAAATTTATTTATACATTTTTTTAGTTGAGCTCACTTTTATTTTTCTTGGCTTCTAGTTTAAGAGAACTCTTAGCTTCATTAAAGATAAAGTTAACCATTTCTTTTGCAATGTTCAGACATTAAATGCGCAAATCACAACCATGTAGTAGTTAAAAATGACTTGAATTATATGCACAGAACATCGATGTCAAATTTTTGAATTCCGTAAAATTGTTTAGGTAAATATTGGGAATATATTCTACTCTTAATTTTGCTTTAAGTTGAGTCGTTTCTTTTTTTTTTTTAACTTTTCATTTTACTGAGTGAAGAGCTTAAAAATATGTCACTATCGCACCTAAACTTTTCAATATTATTAATATACTTTTTAAATATTTTTAAAACATCTAAAATATTACACCCAAACTTGTAGGCATAGAAGTTGGATATCCGGAAAAACTATAAGTTGAAAAATATATCGCAATTCCGAAAAGGGCTTAGCCCCGCATACGGATCCTATATTATTATGATAAAGACTATTATTAAACCAACCTTTTTTTTAATTAGTAATCCAGCAGAAACTTGTTTATAAAAAAACAATAAAGGAATATATGGATTTACTTTAATAGCTAACGTGTATCAACATATTTATTTCAGCATACATCCAATCCATATTTATACTAATTTTATAAAATGTCCGGAATACATTTTGCCTTAACTTGGCGTTAAATTATTAGTTTTATTTCATTAATTTTTGTATAGATCAGGTTAATAATAAAAGCAATTGGATTTTACTCAATATTTTTGAAGTAATTATTGAGCTTTAATAAAATTAATAAAATCATATAAGACAGTTAAAAAATATATTTAAACCTTTGTTCACTTTTTGAAAATCCGTAAAAAAGCAAGTATCAAGTTTACATATCTTTAAAGGAAATTTATTTACATGATATATAGTTAAATATGTAACAAAAATATTTTAAAACAGAAGCATATATAAAACACATTTTTCTTAAAAAAACAAAGTTGAAGCCACCATTTACAGCACCGAGGAGCCAAGCATAGCCTATTGTAAAGAAAACCATATCAAATAATTTAAAATATTTATTACCGATAGGGACGACAATTAAACATATTTAAAAAGCTACGTGATTCCATATTAGTAGGATTGTTATAGAAAAGTATATTAAAAAAGTATATTTAAAAGTATATTTAAAAAAAAGTGTATTAAATAGAAAACAGATTTTTAAAAGCTACCTAAGTTTGTAACCATTTTGCCAATGGTGTTCAATTTTGAAACCAATATCTTTAATGGAAAGCCGACTTGTTTAACTAATCTCATTCAAAGAATAAAATTATTAACACTTAAAGATAAAGAAAAAAAAATGAATGAGATATATACAATCGTATTATATTATTATATAGATAAGTAGATATATATGAAAAAAAAATAACAACTGGAAAACAGTATACCTGCTTTTGGTAACCTATTGTGATACTGTTCAGTTGCTGAAGGGATGCAGCTGTTCTTTTTGGTGTTGTTCAAAAACGTAATTTTTATGTTGGCTTTTAGTAAACTTTAGTTTAATTTAAAAGACATCACAACGGATTTAAAATACTCATAATAAAAAAAGCAAAACATAAAATGCTTCAAGGAGCCAAACTATAAACATAAAAGATGAAGAATCGAATCGAGATAAATAAATTGTATTTATATAGCTAATTATATATTTATATACCCAATAATTATATATTTATATACCCAACGGTTATCTACATTGTTGCCTTTAATATTGATAACCAACCCATTATCATGACGCCTATAGCGTGGATAACCATTGTGAACAGCTAATGTGTTGGCATTAAAATCTTTAGGATAATTTTTGCTGCATGAGAGAATTTGGATTCCGTATTCCACATGGGCCGTGAATTATGCAAGTTTTGATATCATAAAGTTCACGATTAACTATCGGATCTGGAATTTCTGCACAAATCAAAT